TCATGAAAAAATCGGTATGAAATTTTCATAAGTTTTTTTTTGGGGGGGGGGGGATTCTGTGAAGCAAGGGAGCCTGTTGTTCTTTGAATGAAAGACACAAAGTGCTTAGACTGCTGGAAAAAATCCATCAAGTAATTCTGTATCTATAAAATAGGTGGTAATACAATCTGAGCTTAATTTTGATGGCACACTGTACTTCATAAGTGACAATACCTTAAAAAATGTAATGAAAGGGCCTGATTTATTACTGAAATAATCCATTTAGCAGTCCAATAAATAAAGGGAGAAAATACAACCAATGGTTTTTTTTCGGGGGGGGGGGGGGAAGGGCAGAAAAATTGCAATGCCTGGCAGTTTTCTGTAAATGCATCTAGAGATTGTGGCTAAAGATTTTTTTTTTAAAGACTAATAGAAATTCAAAGTTAGATTTGAGATCTAGGCTTAACATCTTCCACACACCTCAGGTACCTTTTAAATACCTGGCCCGTGATTTAAATAATGTAAGCAGTGTTTTTATTTGTGGGGAGGGGAGAATGCTAATGTGATGCCTTACAAATATTTGATTTTGAATATGCTCCCATAGCCATTATTAATCGCAAAGCAAACATATTTCTCCCTCATGCCAAATTTGTTTTAATAACATGGCGTTACTTCTGCAAATGTCAGCTCCAGACTCTCTCTCTCTCTCTTTCCATTTCAGTGGCACTTGGCCATAAGTGAAGATTGGCACTTTTTATACTCCCTCTAGGTTACTTCTATTAATCTATTTAATATGCTACAGAACGCTGTGGTGGGAATTGGCAGTAAAGGTAATAAAATCCCAGCATGGCAGAGCTGTTTGTATTCAGGTGTATAGCCCTGACAGCGCACACTCTGGAGTACAGTAGCTTCTTATTTTCCCCCTGTTCCAGTTTAGATTTCCTGCTACCAGCTCTTTCCCTTAATGCAGACTTCTTCACACTGGATTTAGTGGCTTTTCTTTCAGATACTGATCCGTTAAAATTTACACGGAATGTGGTTTGCATTCTGAGGAGGCCTTATATAGAAGCGTCAGATGGATTGATTTGTTGGCATTGTCACGATGAAAGCAACGTATTCTGCTCCCACGCTGGCGTAACTCCAATGATTCGGTGGAGTTGTTCCTGATTTAAACTGGCCCGGGGAACACAAATCAGGCCCGTAAGTGTTTTAATGGGGAACGAGTGAGCTAGTTCTACCCACAATGATTTGCCCAGACTTGCTTTGTTGTGCCTTTCGTTGCTAGTGAGGTCATTGGCTGATAGTTGTATTTGGTTACATAAGGACATAAGAATGGACGTACCGGGTCAGACCAAAGGTCCATCTAGCCCCGTATCCTGTCTAACGACAGTGGCCAATGCCAGGTGCCCCAGAGGGAGTGGACCAACAGGCAATGATCAAGTGATCTCTCTCCTGCCATCCATCTCCATCCTCTGACAAACAGAGACTAGGGACACCATTCCTTACCCGTCCTGGCTAATAGCCATTAATGGACTTAACGTTGACACTTCTTCAGATGCGGGTGATGTGCTATAATAAAAACCCCTTCCATTGCCATGAATATTACAGAGAATGGTAATCACAGCTTTGACTTTGGTACCTTTCATGTACAAGATGTGTAGTGTGGCTTACAGGATTGAGCTCTTGCTGGGAGCCAGGTCGAACCTGGTTCTACTGCTGACCATCTTGGTGTCCTTGGGCACCTTTCATCTCTATTTCCCATCCACCTGCATGGGTGCCTTCTGCCTCTGCTCTGCTGCCCACTTCCCCAGCGCACTTGTGATATGGTTCCAGAGACTTCCCCTTCTGCCTGCTGTCCCCCAACTCACCTGCATGTGGAGCTGTGATCTGATCCCTACGGTGTGTGGCTGAAAGAAAATAGTCCTGGTATTGTTCTATGTGTTTAGCAGGTCAAAGGGGTAGTGAGCCAAATGCCTCAGAGCAGTCTCTGGGCCAGATCCTCAGCTGGTTAAACTCGCGTAGTTCCACTGAAACCTGTGAAGTTATTCCAGTTTACACCAGCTGAGGTTCTGGCACTGAATCTTCAAAATGACCATGCAGAATGATGCATTGAGAAGTCCAGGCTAGACTCAGCGCAAGCATAAGGAGTAGCCTTAAAAGTCCTAAACGCATCGGAAATTGATTAGCGATGGCCATTTGAAATGATAGGACTGACACCTGGAAGCAGGCACTTCTAGTCTCTTGCCCTTGCTTCGGCCAGCGAGCTTGGGCAATTCTTGGAACTACATCCAGACGAGGAGATGTTCTGTTGTGCCTCCATTGCAGGGCCGTGAGGAATCAGAACCTATGGCTCAATAACATTATTTTCCTTCTAGCAGTTCTTCTGCAGGTCAGGCCTGCGATTCCTTTGGTGGAACTTCAGGGAGCACCTATCTGTGCTTGGCTTAGCATTAGCACTAGCCAGTCCTACCCGCCCTCGTTTTCACAAACATTAAAATGAATGGAAGAAAAAGAGAAAACAAAGGAGTAAATTGCTGCCCATTAAATCCTTTTTTTGTTTCATATTTCACATGCCTTCACCTTGTAAAACGACAGTAGAAAATCCTCACTTAAGGGCTCCCCCCCACTTCAAAACCTTGGCCAATGGAATGAATATTTGGCTCCGCATACCTGTATTTCTTGCTTGGTTCTAATTGCCTTGTTTGTTTTGTAATAAGTGATTCCTGCCTGTCTTGTGCTGGATTGTTTTCTTCACACCATTAAATGAAGTTCTGCTGTATTGATCCCTGTTTTTCCAATTTGAAGCCTGAAAAGTGATGAAGACATTTTCTTGTTTTCTCGCGTACTTTTCCCTCAGTTCATTTAGGTGACCTGTCTTTAGTTCCTCACTCTGTTTGCTGTAATTGCTTCTTCAGAGTAATGTTACACCGTAGCCGCAGTACTGCAGCCTGAGTACTTTTTTTATGGAAGAAAGAGGGAAGGCGAGGTTGAAGTCATCAGCTAATATTAACTGTGGAAGCTTTGCCACAAATGACATCTCAATAGCAGTGTCTCTTGCTATACAGTTACAGAAGCAAAATAGTACAATGGACTATTATGGACATAGGCAGCAAGGACCACGGTGTCTCTAGATCTCGTGTCAATGCATTGGTGGGTTTTTTTACATGCCCCTGAAAAATTGCGAATACCTTTGATTATTTTTTTTCTTTTGGCATAAAAATGCCACTTTACCTTTTTCTAACCCCCCCCCCAAGTTTTGTTTAATTGTTTCATATTTAAAACCTATAGGGTCAGATTTTCAGAAGAGTTCAGTTCTCTCATGTAGGCCCCAAAATAAGTGGCCGTCGGTCTTGCGGTGACAGCTGCTGGGTGCTTTGGAAAATGTGACCTTTGGTTAAGCACCTGAATGGGAGCTCAGCTTTTTTCAAAATCTGGTTCTTTTGAAAATATGTTTGGTAAGGGCCAGATTCACCAATCTGCTCCAGTGAATTGCTGCCCCACAAGCTTTGAGCAACGTTGTTTAGCTGGAGGCATCCCTGCAAGTGCCATATTTTAGGGAAAGCAATTCTGAGAATGAATTAAAATGCCAGGTCTGAGCCTATAATGCCTCCTTAGGCAAGGCTCACAGTTTCAGGGCGATCTGCTCATGCAGCCTTTACTCAGGCAAAACTATTGAATTCACTGGGAGTTTTGCTTGAGTAGCAAATGCAGGGCAGGGACCAAAATGTGGTGTCTTTTCCCAGACCCTATTAACAGCTATTTGGACAGGAACACTCTGAACACCTTAGAGCTATTTTAAAAATAGAGTTGGTCACAAATTTTCAGTTGAAATATTTTTTGATAAAAAGCTTTGACAAAAAATATTCAGGTATTTCAATGAAACGAACATTTTTCCATTTTCTGCTTTTCAGTTTTTGGTTTTATCTCCTCTTTTGCCTTTTTACTGTTTTTCTTTCTCCTATTCTCCTTTCAGGGGCAATATGGCAAAAGGAAGAAAAGGAGGAAAACCTGCAAAACAAAACAAGAATTGTAAAATGTTCATTAATTTAAAAAAAAACCAAAACGATATGCCCTTTTCGAAACATGTAGAACGAAAACTATTTTGGAATTTTTTTTTGCAAAAGGTTATCAGTGTTTTTGAATCAGGTCTGTTTAAAGAGCAGAAAATAATAGCAGTTTTTTTTAAAAATGCCACACGAGGATCAACTGAAAATGTATTGCTTCCTGTGGTTTATGTGGTCGTATTCAGAGTCATTCTCTGATCTCACCTCTTTGGCCCCGATTTCTCTACCAGCAAAGTGAGAAGGCTGAGTCAAAGTCTTGCTCTGTAGAACTGCTCTCCCCTGGCTCATTAGTGCAGCTGTACTGGCCGGTGCTGTCAGTGGGCAGGGCAGCCAAGTCTCCACTCTCTCCTCTTTCATCCCTGCCCACTCCTGCAGACGTGGGGAGGGGGCATATAGCTGCTCTGTCGAGGCTGCTCTGTCATCCTGTGGAGCTGCTGATGTAGATGAAGTTTAAAAATAATTCAGCTGTGTTTGAAACCGATACTAAGGGTCACATTTTCAAAAGCTTTTAAGGGACTTAACAGCCTAAGGACCAGATTTTTAAAGGTATTTCAGCGCCCAAAGATACAAATAGGCACCTAGGGGGATATTCAAAAGCATTAGGAGCTAGATGCTCAGGTGTTTTTGAAAATCCCATTAGGCACTTGTCTGCATCTTTAGGTACCTAAACACCTTTAAAAATCTGTCACGTGAGTGCCTAAATCGCTTTTGAAAATGGGATTTAGGCTCCTAAATTTCACTTTTGTAAATGTTACCCTTAGTCTGTTCTGACATTCTCTCTCCCTAAAATTCCCATGATGTATGAGTCTCTCTCATTTTGAGAAGACTTGCTATTGCTCTGAAAATTTTTTTTTTTAATGGGAGGCTTTGGGGGATATTATTGTGAACCTATTGTGCTGCTGCATTATTAGAACATAGCAAATGATAAAAGGTAGGTTGTTTCCCCTCTTTTCATAGGTAACATAATGAGACGTGAAAAAAATTCTTAAGGATGATGCAAAGATGAGACACATTCTGCCCTAGAGTGTGTACGTTCCCCTCCTGTATAAGTTGCTGGGAGACATGTGCTTGCAACTACAATTGACAAAAAAACCTGTGAAAGTGGCCGTGTATTCTGTGGATGGCATAAAAGCATTAGAGGCACTTACAGGTAAGCCAACTAGCATCATCAGTTTGTTCCCCTACAACCCAAAAATATGAGCATCAGGAACAAGTTGTTGGAGCTTAGACTCCAATTGTGCAAAGACTTCCACGAGTGCTTAACATCAATTGGATTGCTCATGTATGTAAAGTTAAGCATGCACAGAAGTCTTTGCAGAACCCGGCCTTAGAGGCTGTACTCTAAAGAGGTTAGAGAGCTGAGTTTATTTATTATTATTATTATTTTATTGTTTGTTTGTATTATGATAGTACCTATAGCCCCAATCAGGATAAGAGGTCATTGCTAGCCATTGGACAAACATAATAAAAAACAGTCCATGCCCTTAAAGAGCTTACATTCTAAATAAACAAGACAGACAAAAGGTCAGATGAAAGGGATGCAACATACAAGTAGATAGTTTGTGTCAATGCATTATTACAAAAATATCAGGACACTCCGACTTGTAGTCAGAGAACATGATGTCGGAAAGTGCAGATTCTGGAAATAATCTCACCTTTTCTTGCCTCTAGATTTGTATGAAATGGTTAATTTCTAAAAGGGCAACTACATTACCTTTAATAAATAACAGAATATTCACGAACAAGACGGTTTTAGTAAGATTTGTTTCTCCCCTCCAAATGTAAAATCTTGGAAGAAGGGTGAAAATTGGGAAGGGGTAATTTACTGAGCTGGGTCAGCTGTTCCTAGTCTAAATGATAAGGGGAGGTTTTATTATTTTTTTTTTATTGTGAGCTACCTTATGACAATTGATGATAAAAGAGCTGAGCCTTTCAAAAACCCATTTTAATAAAACACCGTATGATCTCATAGATATGCATAGGATTTAGAAATAACATGGATTTTAATGAAGGTACTTGAAAGGTATGGTGCCATATTGCAATTTTATGGAAGATCTTAGATTAATGAAATTAAACGTGAACTGCATTGTTTAGATGATGAACTTAAGGTCATATCTGCAGCGTTTGAAAGAGAAACCTTGAGTGGAGGGTGTAGAACCATTGATTTAGACCCTGGTAGACAGCTGAATAGCAAGCATTGAAGCATGAAGGTAAATTCCCATATTTCATTGTTAGAAGGTTAGCTGGTGGCTGCCAGCTTTTCAGTGATAATCACCAACCAATTCTACCCTGTTTCAAAAAAGATTTTGCCTTTGTGTGCTAAGACACTTTTAAAAACCATTACAGTTCAAAGCAGGGGTGCACTATTTAAAGAGAAGCTATTTCTGCAAAATATAAGGTGTCAATAAGTTGATGCTGTCCTTGGATAGTGATGCTATTAAGTTCATTAGTATCATCATCTATATAAAATGCTTATAAGGAGAATTTTAGTCTGTTTGCTGTATACCCTAGAGACACCTGGTACTGCAGTTCATAACTACATGTCACCGGTAATTAGCTCCTTTGCTCCCTTAAGATTTTTCATTATACAGTGGCCCTTTCTGGTTTAAGTACTGTTTTTCCCTCAGACTTGAAAAAAAGGAATATTTAAAAAAGAAAATTAAATACACTGTTGAACTAATGGACATAAATTGTGCACAACAGGAAAATCATTAGGAACGAAAGATTCAGGCTTTAAGGATAAGTGATAATAGGATGATACTGCCAATTACCATTTGAGAACCAAAATATTGTGATTGAGACAATGCATGGGGTCGGGGGGAGGCGGTGGAAAGGCTCCAGAGTGGCAGTTTGCTATTAAAGAGAAATTGACAAGGATGCCAAGATCAAGTTAGGCCTAACTCTGTATTTCTTGGGCAAAATTTCCAGGTGGTGTAGATTGGTGTAGCTACATTGACTTCAACAGAAGATCTAGCACCTTATATCTGTTGGCAAACTCCATTAAAATCTTTCTCCCCTCTCTTCACTTATTTGTTATCTGTATCAGACTATTGCCTAATGGCCCCAATCAGGATTGGGGTCCCATTGTGTTGGGTATTGTTCAAACACGTAGTAAGACACGCTTACTATTTCTTTGTCTTTCTATCTATCCTACATAATGTTCTGTAAAAATAAATGCCAGTAGTTGTTATCAAACTGTGCAGTACTGAACAAATATGGAAGAATAGCCGTGTCTAGCCTAGGATTTAAGGTGTGATGTTAACTCGGCTTAGTTACCATGGACTAAGTAACGTGTTTAAAAGTCTACCACAGACAAGTCAAGCGCTGCCTGTAACAAGTGCTGACCTGATTGAATTAAAGCCTTAATGGGGTTTTTTTGCAAGCCCTGGTGATAGCATTGAGATGAGAACCTGGCCCACTTGATCTAGCTCAGCTGTAATTTAATTGAGGTATATTAATAATTAGTGAGATTGTTTAAATCTTGGAGGGGCATATCTGATTGTGGGGATGAGAAAGAGACTGTCGCTGGGTACGGAAGAATGCGGGAATAGAACAGCACATTCTCAAAGAGGAAAGGATACTTTTAGGCTCATTTACAATCCCCCTAATTTACATGAATTTATGGCAAACTGTACAAAACTCTCTCATACCATGAAACCGTCTGAAAGTTGGCAGTGAGGAATTATAGAAGAAATACTGCTAGAGAATGGTGGTAAATGAGGTATGATTTGTGTTCCTTTCATTAAAAAATTCCTTGTGCTCTCCCTGTGTACACTAAACAGATTGCACATGATTCATTTGTGTGTCCGTGTAGTGGTGGGAGATGGACAGAGGGATTAAACTCTTAGAGATTTCATTGCCAGTGAGGGGATTTAGGCACACCATAGCTATTAAAATTAATGAGAATGGTGTGTCTAAATCCCCTGGTCAGCTTTGAAAATCTTGGCCCTAGTACTTCTCTTGTAGTCATTTACAAGTGGTTCCCTTGTTGCTTATCTCCTCTCTAGGCACCATAGCATGTATCTGAGGGTAGGTCTACACTTATTTTGGTGCATAGAGGACAGTCACTACCCACCCAGCTAGCATGGGCATGTCTAGATGGTGAGGCACAGTTTAGGTGAGTAGAGTGCCCTACATGTCTGAATCTAGTGGGTATGTGCCCCAGAGCTGGTGCTTAGCCCATTGGGGGCCCTAAGCAGGAATATTTACAACACATATTGATAATTAAAAGGGGACTCTCTTGAGCTGCTCCGAGCCCTAATCAGTTGCTTATGCCTCGAGCCAGCTCTGATGTGCCCTACACGGCTCTCTACACACCCAAGTACTGTAGAGTCCAGTTGCTGGAGTCTCCCTGCTTCAGTGAAAGGCTCCTGCGGGGATGGGGGAGAGCCAGTGGGGGACAGCTCTGGAAGCTCCTCACTGTCAGAACCTTTCTCCATGGCCTCCTCCCTTCTGAAGCCTTTCACTAGCTACACACCGCAATGTGGACGCAGTCTGGCTTTCACTGTGGCATGTAGCCACCTGTAGTCTCCACACCAACACCAGTGTAGACAGGGTCTGGAATAATAAACACAGTTGGTAGAGGATCACATGATGATCCAGAAATGGCTCTCGTCTGTATATTGCTTAATGTTCTGAGTAAGGGGAGCTCCTTCAGGAAAGTGCTAGCTGTAGGAAGAGGTAGGACAGTGCAGTATTTCAAAGTTGTGTCGTGCGCTTATTAAAGATTGGTGGAAATGCAGTTCTCTCTTGTTTAGGGCCTGTTTCTGATGTTACTCACAACAGTTTTACACTGGTGAACTCCACTGGGGCTAGTTCTCCACTGCTCTCTACCATATATAGTCATTCACACCTGTGCAAAATGGATGCAAAATGTTAGTGTTCTACTTTAGCCACTTGTTACACAGACCATGTGCTCACTTTGCACAGGTGTAAATGTCTACACAAGGTACAGGAGAGTGGGGAACCAGGCCCCATTGATTTTAATTAAGTTATTCCTGATTCATACCTGTGTAAGGGAGAGCAGAATCCTGCTTTAAGGGGCCTGACCTAGTTTCCATTGGACTCAGTGGAAAGAATTCAGATCAATGACGACAGCAGGAGTAGGATCAAGGCCTAATTGAAAGGCCAAATTCTGCCACTGAGCAAAACCACTCCCAAAATAGAGGCAATCTGCAGAGTAGGGAAGGATTAGGGGCCCATTGCTGTTTGAGAGCATTCATTGAAACAATGGACTATACCATCCGCCCCCGGGTCCTTCCCTAGGACTCTACTCTATTGCCATGGGCGTCTGTGTATGGTTCCTCCCTGGGTTTAGCAGGCAATCTGAACTACATCCCCTTTTTAGTCTGGTGACTTCCTGGCATGCAAATGAGTGTGACCATCAGACAGAATACAGCGCTTCATATCATATCTAATTTTGTAAAGCCGATTTGCTGAGGTTTAACAGATTCTTAACTTTTCACCTACTTGTAAATCCTTCAACAAATATTTTTTCCTTTATATAAAAAAAAAACCTATGGTATTGGCTACTATACAAATGCTGACCCATTAAATCCCACTAGGAAACTTTAGGCATGTTAAATATCAATTGATTATAAAACCCATATTAATTGATGTTTAACAGCTGTGCTAATGGAGAGGAGCTCATTACATAGCTGTTAACCCTCAACACATATATTTGAAATAATCAATTAGTATTTATTTAACATACAATAACTTTCCTATTAAACTTAAATTAAATACCAGTTTATGGGTACCATGCAGGAAAGGCTGCACTTTGTGAGCCTGATACCAGGTTATCCCCAATCCCCCAAGGGCAGTCTTAACACATTAAGTGAAAAGTCAAAGGGTAAAAGTAGAGTATTTCCATCATCCTGAAGTTAATCGGACTTGTGGGCAATCAGCACCTTCAAAGGGGCTCAGAATCTGTTGGGATTGGGCCCATGTTGAATTGTACGGCATAGTGCCAGACAGATGAAGATTTGCTTAAGTATCTGCTAAATGAAATGGTATCTAAGATACAGGTACAACAAGGAGTCTGGTGGCACCTTAAAGACTAACAGATTTATTTGGGCATAAGCTTTCGTGGGGTTTTTACCCACGAAAGCTTATGCCCAA